CACATTCAGACGAAAATTAACTTACAGGAATCACTTCTGCGCCACAATAACCACAACTGTCAAATACAACGGAGCTTCGTGAAAGACCCATAAAATGGAGCTCAGCCAACACATGACTTGGGGAGACCACTGTCTGATGCAGGCACCCTGTGATGGTAACGTTATGGCTCAAGGCCTCAAACACCACAACTGCTGCTTGTGCATCAATATGAACAAACTCCTTGTCACGCCCTCTGCAGCCAGAGGGCGCTCCTTCTCTGTCCTGTCCCTATTTCCGGTCTGCTGTCCTTCCTGTCCCTCTCCTTCCCTTGGGCTATATATTTCCGGGTCTTGCACTCTGTCCTGGCTCAGCATTGATGTTCGGATGTCCTGAGACCCGCCTAGCACCAGGGCGCCCCACGTCCGCTCCCTGAGGGCATAGGTTTCTATACGGCATTCCTGAACTCTTTGCACTAATGAGCCTGGGCCTTTTTCCCGTCTCGCCGCTACGCATATGGGTCTTTTTCCGCTTTCCTGCTCCCCACGGTTAGTCCCTTTGGACGTCCGTGACACTCCTGGGTACAAACCAAAATTGTTTTGTAATGAATCCCAATCCTGTTCCTGTCTCTTATTTTGGGGTGGCAGAGATTTTTCACACAGCCAATATTAATACAGCCAACCTTATCTATCCATCCATTTTCTAACCTTTCTTCTAACATCTTTTCTAGTTCACTTCGCTCTCAGACGACATATAGCTTCTGTCATATTCATTGCCTTTAAAATACACAATCCACTAAACCACTATATAACTGCTTCTTCCAATTCAGGGTAGCAGGGGGAGCTGGAGCCTATCCTGACAAGCAGCGGGTGCGAGGCAGGGTACCCCCTGGATGGGACATCAGTCCATTGAAGCACATACTGTACACAGACACACAAACAAGTCAGGGAGCCTTAGAATTTTATTGCTGTACCTGTAAACACAAACTGAATGCTTCAACTACAGTGAAAAAAGCTTCTTTCGATGTTGTAGGGCACATTAATTTCTTCAGCCAATTCCTGTTAAAGTTATATAACTCAAAGTAGGGATTCATTTCTAAACTACTGATAAACAGTAACAGGTATGAAATTGAAGTTTTGCTTGATCTTCTCTTTAGTGTGTCTTCCATTACAACAAACAAAGATTCTTATTTTTTAATTATGCCATCAGATATATAAAACAGGATAAACAACATAGCCTCAACCACTGTCAGTAAATATGCTTCACAGAATGAGCTCATTTTTTCCATTTTAACAAGGTTTAAAGTTGTAAATAAAAACAAAATTGAGATCCTCCTAAATCACTATTGCAAATCCTCTTGATAATCAAGCCATGTCCTGCAAATCTAATTATATTTTATATTATGCTTTGCGACTCTATTAAAGGAATGCCGAGGTTTGTGCTATTAATTTAACAAGAGGTTACAGGAATAAACTTTGTCATTTTGTCATCTATGCAGTCTAAAAACATCACAGGAAAATAAAGCAGGGAAATAAAATGTAAAGAATAAATTATGAAAGCCAATGAAGCTATTAGGAATAAAAACACAAAAATATACTTTGTTGCAGACTCTACTATTACGCTGGAGTGCTGTGCCAGATGTACTGTACAGTATATGCAGAAAACACATTATAACACACAGCAAATAAATAAGATAAAAAACAGAGGGAATCTCTTGAAAATATCTTGATTTGTTTTCCACACATCCCTTTACTTAAGGTACAGTACAGAAGAATGGACATCTGAATGCAGTTTCCGTTTCATCCAGAAGATGGCAAAAGTTTGGTGCTTTTCTGCCTTCCTTCCCCCCCGTCTTTGATGTCAAACTCAGCCAAAGTAACTCACTAAGTTTGAACCGAGGGAGAGCACGTGGCAGAGTGCAGGGTGCACAGACCGGCGAGCAAGGCAGAACAAGACTGAGTGGCAGACGGTCCTCCATCATGGGCAAAGCAGTTTTCTGGCTCCTGCTCCTCACGCTGCCTCCCCGCCTGGTTTCAGGGGGCATGGACTCCTGCTATGACACCCACGGCGCTCCGCACCGATGCCTACCCAAGTTCGAGAATGCAGCTTTCAACAAAACTGTACTTGTATCCAATGTGTGTGGCTCTCCGCCAGAGGACTTCTGCATGCAGGCTGGCTCCACCAAGTCATGCCATCACTGCGATTCCATGGACCCCCTCCAACATCACAACGCCACCTACCTGACAGACTTCCACAGCGAGGAAGAGCCAAGCTGGTGGCAGAGCCAGTCAATGTTTTACGGGATCCAGTATCCTACGTCTGTGAACTTAACTCTACACTTGGGTAAGTTTTTTTTTTTTTTTTTTTTTTTACTTTTAAAGAGCCTTTCCCTGTTGATGTGATCTTCAACACTTTTACTGTGACTTGACCCACTTTTCAGGCAAGCAAACAAGACTTGCAGTGCATGCCAGTTTGATCTATTTCATTTTAAAAACTGTAGGTTCTTGTACAAACACTACTGATGGTGCAAAGGAATTGCTTGCAATTTAGATTCTATATATATATATTAACTGCCCACATCTGCCCATGCAAATGAACACAAAGTAGTACCACCTGGGGCCAACATCCGTATATCCCGCAGTTTTTAGAACATGGAGCTTTATCTGTTACTGCTTCTTCTATCTGTTACAGTAAAGTAACATTCTGTAAAGAGCTGAGCACATCCGCTTCCACATCAGAGTACAGCAGAGGTTTCCAAATCCTGAAACTGTTTATTCTGATGTATTTGACTCTGGAACTTTTCAGATGAGATGTGAAAAGTTCATACAGAAGGAGATCTCCAGCACATACTGTAACTGCTCTTTTGAAAACGGGCTTTGGTGTTTTGTTATTTAATGCTCTGGTAATTGTATATAAAACCACATTACTCCAGATACTGCTTAAAGCCATTCTGTTCAGATAATTGCAGGCATATATCAAAAGGATTCTTTCAGGAACTTTTTTATTGAAAACTGCACTGAACTAGGTACTTTTATAACTGCAGATATTTCTTCCAGCTTCCCGAACAGTATGAATTGAAATCTGTCACAGTTTACCGAGGCAGTCATTATTTTGGTAAAGTCTCATGATTACTTAAGCTTTGATTTAGTAGAATTGAAATTTTCAAATTATTTTCAAATGCAGAGCATGTGTATGAAGGGCATAAATGTTAGGAGTAAGTTTTAAACCGGAATATTTCCAGATCTTGTTCTTGTAAGGGTGTTGTGTTCTTCTGTACTGTAGGTGTCCCTTGTTCCTATTGATTGCAGCTTTTGTAGTTACAGTAGTTAAGACAAGGCGTTGGCTATGTTTGCACCAGATTCCATAGCATCAAGCAATGACTGAGTTCTGCTGAAAATCTCTAGTCAGTAGGTTATTTTCAATTCATCGGTTGCAATACACAATATGGTGAATAAAGAGTTAAACTACAAAGACAAGCCTTGCATCTTTACTGCAAATTACAAAGTAAAGACTCATTTTTAAAATAAATAAGATTAATCTTTTTTGATTCTCCTAAGCAATGCACGTAATTCTCCTAAGCGATGCATTATTTTAAGTCAAGTCTGTCATCCCTAAAGCCTGTTCACCTTTATAACAGAGTTTGCCAGCAGATGCCAAAGGAGAGAGAACAGACAATAGGCACTGCCCCACTAAAGCTGTCCTACCTCCCACCAACCCAAAAACATCCACTGGAACTTGAAAAAACAGGACATTGAAAATCCTGCCAGGAATCTGACTGCTCCAGCAAACCCTAATATAGAGTTTTACTGGAGACCAAAATATGTATACAGAACAGGTAATTGTATCTCCTGTAAAGTTGCTTGGAAAAAGACATAAGACTAATTAGTAATCTATTTGCAGCAGTGTTTCCATTTCTTCAAAGCAATCACTACTACAATAATCTGTTTCACAACACTTCTATCCATTTTCTTCCTGTTTTGCTATTGCTCCTGATAATTTTATTTTAACAGTTTACTTGGATATTAATCCAATTGACTAATAGTCATTCAATTCAATGAAACAATCACTAACTGGGTAAGAGCCAAGAACAGTTTTCACCCTACTCATTACAGTTAAATCATCTTAAGTGAGATACCTACCTGCATGGATACTGTACAGAAGGCAATGGTCTAACCCAGAGAAAATAAAGTTGATAATGCACTCCATAGAACTCTACACGAATCAAAGGAAAAGCATTAACCCCATCAGTTGTAGTTGTATCATTTGAATATACAATACACGTTCTTTGGTCCTTGTTGAGAAAGAATACTTCAGAGATACAGAAGGATTAACCCTGAAACTCCATAATAATAACTGTAGATATCCGAGACATGCATATAACTATTTCATGGAAACAAATAGCAGTTTTGTGTCCATTTGTTGAGTCTCCTTTTTCCATTGATGCAATATATTGTTCACTTTGAAAAGGTCTTGCTTTTTTCAACAAATGTCAGAAACATATTCGTAGAAAATCAGTGCCACGTTTGTTTTTGCAAATAACAAGCAAGGAATCCTCAAATGAGAGGTTGGCAGGAAGACTGCAGAGTATTTTCAACAATATTAATAGAAATAATAATAATAATAATATCACTTTATTAACCATTTACAATTTCTTGCATTAGGAATTATCTTTTCGCATACCCCAGCTTGCTCTCCATGAGACAAACAGACACAGACAGGGAGAGAAACTTGGGGTCAGAGCGCAGGGTCAGACATTGTACGGCGCTCCTGGAGCAGTTGGGGTTAAGGGCCTTGCTCAGACTTCCCCATACAAAAATACAGATAAAAAAGATAAAACCTTTTCTACCACATTCTATGAAAAACACATAGTGTGAGGACCTAGTCTAATTATAACATGCTGGTACACTTCTTGTTGTAATTTAAATACTTGGTTAAGCTTCAAAGACAAACTGCACGGAAGGCATAGTATGAAAGTTAAACTTTTTTTTTGCATTATTTTCCAAACATGGAGTGTTACAGGGTTTAAAAAAAAATGCAGACATTTCCTAGGCTGCTACTAATAAAAACGTACAAGCACAACCTGCATCTATCTGTGCTTATACAGTGCAAGAGCATGGGATGTTTGTGACAGCAGTTACATGCATTTATAACAGTTGATGCGGACAACAGTTCTCAACCAGCAAGAAGCTATAGTCTAAGACTGAAAGTCTTTTAAATCTGATGAATTTGTTGAAAAGAAGTCAACAAAATGGCAATGTCACGCAGATGATGAGTATGGCCTTCTTCAGTTATGATATTAAAGATGTATCAACAGAGTAAAGAATTTGAAACTACACCATATTTATGGATATACACATGGCATTTTTCCAAAAGATGTTAGTCTCCCTAAATCTCTGGCTGTCTCGTATGAAAAACGTCTCCCTAAATCTGTGAATTCCCTAATCTTCTTAAATGTATAGATTTCTGTGCTGTCTATCATATCTTTCCAGATGATGGGTCCTCCATTAGCTCATTACCCAGGCAGCTGAATTGAATTTCTCGATCCCTATCCAGTCCACTATTCTCAACCTCCCCTTTAGTCTTAAACTCATTGGAATTCTGTGGGATTAACATCATTTTCTCATTTGACTACTGTAGTCAGTACTGTAGTTTCTGTACACTATTTATAGTGTGCACAGAAAGGCTATAGCAGTAACATCAACACCTGATAATCGCTGTTGTTCAAAAACTCAATGTCTAAATGAATGGATGGAGAGCCAGTTAATTGTTTTAGGCCATCTCTGGCTCTTATACACATCAGAGGGCTTGTAGGTTTATGGGATCTTCTTTTTCATTGTTTCCAGCTGTGAGTCTATTGGGCTCTTCCTGAAGATTGTATATTCTTTCTTCTCCAAATTAAACATCAGTTCACAGTGGGTACTGTTTTCAAACATACTAAAGAAATGACACAGATTGGTCTCAAACAGTCAAGTATGTGGAGGAAAAAAAAACAAAAACAAAGAGCCCTGTGCGGTCTAGCCAATGGAAATTAGGGTCAGACATTTCCCAGACACATGCAAGGAGACTTCCATCTGTTTTCAATTCTGCAAGATTAAACAAAGTTTCCTGTCTGGGATGAACAAAATACTTAAAACAAAAGCATTTCTTTTTAAAAAGGCAATAGAATGTGTTCCTGGAAATAGACTGACGCAGTGGCACGAGGCTACTAAAGGTGTCTGTTTGTGATGACAGTCCACTCGGCAAAATATACCATAGGTGCTGTAGAGTATCAGTGTTTGATCAATTTTTACCATTCTAACTTCTACTGTCACAACTCTACATCATAGTCTACATCGTTATCGTATCACTTCCTAAGAAGCAATATATTTGTTGCTCATGTAAGATGGTTTTTAATGCAAATCTGAGCTGAAAGTGAGTTACTGAGAGAAAAACCTCCTGGACTGACAAACACATTCTGAGACCTTAAATCAGAATGCCCTTTTTCAACGTAATGGGTTTGGCTCTGTTCAAGACTGCAGTTTTGTTGTTGCTTCAATATGATTGCAGTTCAAATTGAAGGTCTTACTGTGCATACTACACTCAGATAAAAACTACAGGCCTAGGAAAATATCTGCTTTAGACTTGTTTTATACTGAATTTATTGCAGAATAGTTTTGCATTTCTGAGGTCATTCTTAAGTTAATTACAGCAGCACCTTAACTATAGTTCCAGAGGAAATTATTTTTCATATAATATTTTATACCTGAGGTTGACAGTCATGTACTGTAGAAAATTGAATTCAATAGTGTGAAGTCAGGCAATGTCTACGGGGGACTGAGTTTCACAGAAACTAACTAAATTTCCTTGATTCAACTCAGACTTGAACTCGGTTTGCCAACAATGGAAAGCTCCAAAGGCATGTAAATTAGTCTCCCGCACAACCAAGTTCCGACCAAATATTAAAGGGCTTTAATTGCAACAGAAAAATGATTCTTTAGACCACAGTACATATGACAGCTTACAAATTTGAGGAAGCTATTCAGCTCATCATGTTTCTACGGTACTTAGCTGCTTACTGATTCATGAAGCTCAGCCCTTTCTTGAAATATCCTAATGGATCTGTATCCATAGACTTTTTAAGTTGCTCCTTTCATTTCCCACTGTTCAGTTAAACAGCTGCCTTTTCATTAGCTTGTTGCTTTGTAGAGAAGTGGCATTTAGAGTTAACTTTATATATTATTAGTCTCTTTTAGATTTTTGAAGAGTTAAGCCTTTAAGAATGCTCGAAGGAAAGTTTACTAAGGTACAAAACAGTCTAGTATAATAAAGAATACTGATGTTCATTGAAGATAAAACCACGTCAAAACTAGGGTTAAGCAGTAAAGCCACAGTAAGACTATGGCAGAAATGTGAAAATCCTATCATGTATCAGCTAAAGTAAGCTTTCATGCAGAGCACAAATGTTGCAATCATGAAAAAAACAGTATTGTATTAAGAGCCAAGATGTTAAAAGTGAAGATATCCAAAATATTTACAATAAACAACTGGGCTAAATCAAGGATTATCTTTGCTTGTAAAATTGTGTTTAGTTGCCTACAAGTGAGTAAAATACAAACATCAGAATACTTGAATATTCTGGTTAAGTCTACCGTAAATGTACATTAAAAGCAGAAACTAGTGATTGGAGCATTTAATATTAATTAGACATACTGTAACAATTCAACACTACACAGTCAAAAATACACAGAAGGTTTTACATGAAAATGTTGTTTTCTCAAAATATTTTCAATGGGGATACCTCAATGCATGCAATATTAAAGTCAATGCCTCCTTTATAACGGTACAAGACACATTACCAGATGAGAAACAGCATGAAAGTTAGATAAATGTGGTACTGTAGCACATTAATATAAGGCGTGATAAAAAAACAAGTAGAAGAATTACAGGATGCCCTTGGCGATTACTGAATAACAGGTGTGAGAATTATTATTTCACATTTGATTGTTCAAAATTGTACATTTAAAGAAAAGTAATATTTGGGGGTGAATTGTGTACTTTAACTGTAACAAAAGCACAGAACTCTCTCCTATGCATAGATACTGTACAGCAGGAACTGTAGTTCCTCTGTTCTCTTTGTGATTTGGCTTTAAGGCTACAGTCCCTCTCAAAATAAAAGAAATCTCCTTAAAGTCTCCTTCTGTTGCCTGGCCTACACTAAGTGAGAGAAGTGCAGGTTTTTCATGCTTAGTGATGGCTCCTGCTGACCTCACCGACTTTATAAGTGAGCGTTTTATGAGCTTACACTTATTTATTCATTTCTGTTTGTAAGTTTCTAAGTTTAATTTCCCACAGAGCAAAAAAAAATGTTTTTTACAAAATGAAGTATGGTGTATAGATTTCAGAAACTTCCCAAGACAAGTCATTTTACTTTGATTTTTTTTAAAATGGACATACCTATTATACTGTATTAAATGTGACAAAGTCACAGGTAAAGTCGGCCACAACATTAAATGAGTATAAAAAGGGAACTTTAAATATGCTCTGTTGCTTAACAATACAATTAATGTAAAACAAAAAATGTATTGATCTGTTCTAGGGTCTCTTTCCTTTGCACATACTTCTAACAGAAAGGGGAGCAAAAATTGTTTTGCTAATGTGGAGTTAATACAAGCAAGATATCACAACTGAAAGGTACACAGTAGAGGGGAGATGAGCAGTTTGTGTGTCTTTCACAGTTTAACAAAACCTAACCAAAGTTTTTTTAAGGTGCAAAATAAAAAACTTCTTACCTGAACTGGAGCAACAGTTTGCTGACATCTAGGTGAGGTTTTGAAGAAGAAAATTTGAAACAAACACTACTTGGGGTCAAAAGGGTTTGATACCTGTTTCTGAATCCTGCTTCTCGGGAGGAAGATACCACTATAGGCTGAGGGGTGTAAGAAAAGAGTCAAACATCATTATTGAAGGATTCATTTAATGAAAGATAAATCGTTGAAAATATATTTTATTTATATTTAATATTTATATAATATTAAAATATTAATTACATTGTTATACAATTAAAATTGATAGTATTTTTTGTTTAAAACATTTAAACCCTAACCGTTATTCCCATTAAGCTAAGGAAGTGGGAAATTCCAGAAAAGGGCGTGTCAATAGAGGAAGAGGCTGCATTGCATGGTGACTTTATTTGTGGAAGCAAAATAGAGATGCACAATTTCATGGTTGCTCTACATTAAAATATATTTTCTTTATTTCTTAATAGACACTGTAAAATTACAATGTTTAGATTATTGACTCTTTTAGTATTATGTTGTTTCCTGATTACTTGAAATTATAATCACATTACAATTAGCTAAATTGAATTGGTTTATCAGTAAGATAATGGTGTTCTACATGCTGTGTTGTTGCTCCAGTTATTACTCAGAAGTTCAAAAAATGAAATGTACTGTATCCTGTTAGATCACAAGATTGTAATCTCAGACATTGCAAAGCTAAGAAGTATTTTTGTAGAGATTAAGTACCTTCTGTGTTTTGGTAAATAATTTGGTTAGTACTTTAAACTTATGTTTGAGCACTTTTACAACAAAAACAAATTCTGAAATGTCAAAATCTGACACCTGTGGTTTTATCTATTTATGTACGAGAATATGATATTTAACTCGTGTCCATGTGGCCTGAAAATATTCTCAGTGAAATGGAAAGAGATAATGTGGTTCCTAGAAATTATTATTGCTTCTGTAGCATTAAAAAATCATTAACCCAGCTCAATATACAGTAAGCAATTTTCCACATTAAAACCTGTAAAATGTTGGTGTTATTTTATTCTATTAAATCTACAGGGTTGAAGAGGTGATCAAGAACAAGGAAAATGACATCAGAAACCTAACAACTTCACGGACGTTTAGCTGACAATTTTCAAACCAGGCACCAGCATTTACAGTAAAATAGTCTACATAGAATATTGGCTTCTGAACTAATATTTATGTGGCCTTCATCATGTTGTGTATAGTAGGTGAATCTCAAAGGTATTTGTGAGCAGTGTATTGAGGCACACTTAAAAGCATGAAACGTATTGTGTGCTTAACTTGCAGCCAACTATATTACGAGTTGAGTCGTGTTTAGATATGGTTCTTTTTTGGGTTCAAACACAATACAACAATAATTATTTTTTATTTTGAAGCTTGCTGCCGATTTGAATTCTATTCTTGGTGTTCTATCAGCTAGATCTTTCTGCTGAGTTTACAAAAACAAGGAATTTTAAAAAAAGTAGGAGCCAAATTGGTTGTATTACAATATATACTGTACCACTTGGAAGGTAAGATAAAATGGATGTCATCTGAGTCCACACTGAAACAGGGATCAGAGCAGCGTTACTCTGAGCACAGTGGTGTGCCTTTAGACATTAACAGGTATGCCCTTGGATTTTGGAAAAGCCACATATGAGCAAAATGGAGCCATTAAACAGACTTTCAGGAAGAAGATCAAATTGTAATCTTATACTTCTTATACATTCACTCAAATAGGAATATTTCATCTGCTGAGCCCTCATTAAAACACATCTTTTCTCACACCCCTCAGTCCACCACATCTTTACCTTTGCTGCAGCCTCCCTCGCTAATTCCTTTGCAAGCAAGGGTGTTTTTTTCATGGCCTTACAGCCAGGATCGCCATTTCCTTGCCAAGCAAGTTAACACCAAATTGTTATCAGTTCCTACTAGGACCTTAAGGTGAATTCGGATTAAACATTGAAATACATTACAGTCTTGTTTGTAATCCATGTGTATGTGGAGAGGTGGGCAGTGTAACACAACTTTTTTTTTTACCTAACTCTGCTATCGGATGGAGAAAGTTGGGAAACTCTGGGTCAGAGGACACAAGTCACAATTTAAAAGAAGTACATTAACAACCAGAAAATGGAAACCCTTCTTCAGGCTTCACACAGTGGTGTTATATATCAGATATTCAGTAGGAGGTCAAATGCCAGTCTCACAATTCCACACACCTGAATACAAATACTCGCTGGCTGCCCACAACTCTGTCTTCCCTGTCTGCACCCCAGCTTCACACCTGCAGCTGTCTCTCTGGATCATTCCTCATAACTGAGAAGGTTGTGACAGCCAGATGACTTAAGCCATTGTATTATGTACTGTAAGCTGTATCTTTACATTCAGCAGCTCATTTTGTCTCCATTAGAATTTGACCAAGGTTCTGAAAGAGCTCTATGAGTCTATTTGCTTATGTTGCTGAAAGCATTTCTCAGGGATCCGTCAGACTGGAATCCTTACCATCTACAGATGTTCTTAGTGATTTCTAGCCTGGAGAATAAACAATGCTCCTTTTTTCTGTAATTTTTAACATCAAGCCAAATAATGTACACCCTGTATCACCAATGCCTTAGAGTGCATGTGAGTTTCAGACAGAAAACTAGTTCCTGTCAGTTGGAGAGTCTTAAAGAAAGCACAAAAATATTACTGCTTCCTTAAGATGGTGAGTTTAGGAATGCATATTGTGCTAAAACGCAAATTATTGTTGGAACTTTCAATATGCAGAATATGGAAGTCTACACCTCTAACAGTGAAATTGATTTATCTGCAACTTGTCTGATTCCTTTAAAGGGGTAAAAATATAAAATCAAATTGCTTTAAACAATAACTGTATTTATATTGATTTCCATCTAGTTGACCAAGAGCAGTGACATTCAAAATCCAAAAAAGCCACCAAGAAATTAAACATTTTATACACACAATTTTTAGTTATAATACTTAAGTTTGATTTAAAGTTATCCTTCATTTTAAAACACTGGCATATTAAAGATTATGTGGATGATTTTTAAATAGAGTCCAATAAGGTTAGCCCCTGATGCCATAATTAAATTTCCTAGTTAATAAAAAACGTCCAGCCCAACTAAATCCCTTTTTCTCTAGTTAATTTAATTTTGCAAAAGTCTTCTCTTTCCTCACAGCTCCCACAAGACATCTTGAGTAAAGAGATATTGGATCTCAGTGGAATTATTGAGCACAAACATGTTTCCGTTGGTATAAGTGCAAAACATAAAAGTTCAAGGCCTTTAATAAAAATTTCAGTTTAGATATTTGATCAGTTAAACAGGCAAGAAAAGCTATGATAGAACAAAAAATATGAAACATCTGTCTGAAAATAATAGGGCATTATTGTAGTGGTTGTCTACTTGATTTCCTTAAAACTCAGTAGTAATGAAAATACTATTATCTACCAAAACCTCGAAGCTCATCTTTTATTATTCATTCCCTTCAAAGAAAGCTATTATGAAAATTACAGGTTTTTTTGCTAAATATATTCGTCATAGGACTGACAAATTAAACTCTTTGATCTGGAATATGAAGTTAACCTCACGAAGTTCTATCCTTCAATATTGTATGAGATAAACAAGAATCTTTTGGTGCAAGGTTCAAATTAAACAATACATTAGTAAACAAGTGAATGTTTAGCAACATTCTCTTCTTACCTCTGATGCTTCATTATTGCAATCCTGCAACATCTTAATGACAGGACATGATACTTTCTCCATGACCTACACATCACTTCTTCCAGGGAGTTTATTTGTTTATTATGACAGCTGTCTCCTGAGTACAAACAACACAGGAAATCAAAGTTGCAATATAATCTCTCCATATCTCTCCCCCATTCCTCTCCACTTTCTAGACTCGAAAGCTTCCTTGTAAATAGGCTTCCAGAACAACAGTACAATAGATGCTGTCAGACTCAGCAGACAGATGTCAGAGTAAAGCTATGTGGTTTCCTTGCTGAGGTGTAATCATAAAGCAAGTAGTGTGCAATGTTTTTGTGTTGGGGGGATGTTTTACAAGGAATGTTGCTCATTTCCTAGATTTTTTCCTGTCCATTCTACTCTCCTATGAGCAATCCATTGATAACAATGTAAGATTTTAGTGCATTGCATTCTTCTTAATAAGAACACTACAATATCATTGTACTATACTATAACAATATATTAGAAGATGAGATCAACAGGGAAATACGATAATTATATGTTTTTAAACCACAGTATCTGTTTTATGTTCATTGTAAATAACAAATGTGACTTAGAGTACTGTACTGCATAACAGTGAAAATCTTCCCATCAATCCAGTATTTTAAATGCAGGACGTAAGTGCTCTGTGCCAGTGGGTTCTTGCATTTAGGAAAATCTGAATGGGGTTAGGAATGTGCTACAGGTAGGTTAACCTATATTATCATTTGATCTACTGTAGGTCAACAAAACCCCAAAGATGAAACCAATATCTTTCTTGGTTAGGAATGAAATGAATGAATAAAGGACTTAACCAAGTATCAACTAAACCAACTAAAATAGGGGCTGCAGAGTTGAAAGAAAATGCAGAAAGCTGAGAATCACTCAATAAAATGGACTCAGTCCTTTCTTTAGAGGAAAGACCAGCTTAATGATTTGAAAGCAAAAGTAAGACTCAGATACACACCATTGACTCTGAGGTTCTTACTGCATATTTTCTTCTTTTGGTTTCCTTAGCAGGTTAAACAATTTAAATTGAACAGAATGCTTAAAATTTTGTCTGGCGAGTTGATGGGTATCAAATTTGCCCCAAAATACAGAACTATTCTCTAGGTGCTGAGTCTAATCATCTGTTTCTGAGGCAACTGTCTGATGTAAGTAGATCTACTTTGAGTCACTCTGAAGTGTGTGGATTACTCCCTTTACTTCCGGACATCTAATCGCATTCAATGACTGAGAAGAAGAGGTGTCTCCGAATGCAATGCTCTTTTTGCTCTCTTGTTATTTTCCAAAAGTAAAATTTAACCTTCCAGCCTTCCTGATTTGTTGTAAGTACTGTTCTTATCTTCCATCGTCTTCTGCAGGGAAAGCCTATGAAATTACCTACATCCGGCTCAAGTTCCACACCAGCCGTCCCGAGAGCTTTGCCATTTACAAGAGGACTCAAGAGGGAGGACCCTGGCTCCCATACCAGCACTACAGCGCCTCCTGCAGGAAGACTTATGCTCAAAGCAACCAAGGCTATATCCGGCCCGGGGAGGACGAGCGGACAGCCACCTGCACTGACGAGTTCAGTGACATCTCGCCCCTCACTGGAGGGAACGTGGCCTTCTCCACGTTAGAGGGGAGGCCAAGCGCTTATAATTTCGATCAAAGCCCTGTGCTCCAGGTAAGTCCGAAGGATTTGTTTTGTTCTTCTGGCACCACATTTGCTCCTCATTCCAGCCTCAGCATAAGCTACAAATGGGAAATGAAGTTTCCAAGTGGCTCAAACAGTTAGGGTGTTTGTGCACAGGAACAGAAGGTGTTTGTGCAGCCCGGACTGCAGCTGCCTGCACAGGCACAGCTCTGAGCCCCCGATCCCACCCGGCTCAAGACGTCACCTTGCTGCTGTTTTATAAAGCGCTTAAAGAAGCCTCTTTTAAAGGTGGTATACAAAAGTAAGGTTTATTATTATTTGACAGCTCTTTAAAGACCTGCGAGGTGATGCCACACTAATAGGCTCATTGTGCCCTCTAAGATCTGTTACATGTCAGAGCACAGGGTGGCTCCCACAATCAAACAATCAGTGCACGTTCCCAAAGGACAGTGCAGTTTGTTGCATAGGAAATAGCAGAAGGCTATTCAAGGCCGGGAGCGTGCTGGAGGAGTCTTCACAGTCCTCATTCCCCCAGGGTTATAGTGGTGGGCCCAGCTGATCAACAGGTGCTGTTCCCCAGTCAGGAGGGAATTTAAAGGGAATCGGTCATTTCAATTCAATTTTTTATTAAAAACAAGGTATAAAGAGACAACATAAATTTAGGGAAAAGATAACTAACAGTTTTTCTTAGTGGCTGAAAAACAATTGTGTTTTAGTGGGAAAAGAGGTAAATGACAATGACTGAGGCGATTAACCAGTATGAAGTCTTGTAGCTTTTCTTCAATTTCAAGCATTAATCAGCCTTTGTAAAAAGAAAATTAATTAATTCCCTTAGCACATGCTCTTGTGTTCATTTTACTTCTAATAAAACGCAAGCCAGTTTTGATTAGAACACTGATTTTCTCTTGATTATGTACTGTACCTGCAATTCCTTGAAAATTAATAGATAGAAAAATCAATGAGTAAACTTTCTCCAGTTAATGATTTTGAACTCCTTTTTGAAGGCCACCTCTGAATAATCGTTTTCGCAATCGTTTTGTCTTGCTTATTTAAAATCAGTTGGAGAGCTTTATTTTTTGTCATGGAGTACCCTTTACAATTGTTCAGAAACTCCTCATTATGCTGTGCATACTTCAGCGAACCACACTATATAAACTATTCCTATTTGAAAATTAAACGAATTCTACTTTAAATATTTTACTTGTAAGACTTTTGAGATAGGCAAATATTTTCAGAATACCTGAAGATATTTGCATGTTCACGGCATCTTTACAACATGTGAGGAAAGTCATCATCATTAGCACCACAATTTAAGCGAGACTTGGCATGAAGTTTTCTTCCTTTAATTAAGCTCCTGTGGTAACTGTGTAAAGACAGCCTTAATCCATGACAGTGTTTTTAAATAGTTTTCTGTTGACATCAGTCACTGATGTGGGTTGGGCTGTTTGAATATGAATGTATCTCAGCTAAGATAAAGCTAATCTTTGCGGCAAACCATAATAAAGATGTTTCATGCCTAGCAAAATCCTCTTTAGGAAAAAACACAACTTATCTCTAAATTTTCTTAAAATGAACATTTAAGATGTAATGCAGTCAGGGTGGGGGTAATTTTATTCAGGCTGCATTTTTATTAACCTGTATTGGATTTGGCCATGACTTCAGGCTTGCTTCTTCACTCGACCAAAATAGCATGGATACAATTTGGGTTTAATACTTAAATCACGGACTGGATTTTTACCACCCCCTCTGTCAGAGAGCTCTAATAATAAAAGTTCATGAGGAATAATGACTCTTAACATTGCTTTTCAGGATGTTTACTTGAGTATTTGTTATAAGGAGATTTAACTTAAACCCTCGATGTGGGGCCAGCCCCCTGGCAGTAGTGTGATGAGTGAGGAATGAGCTAAGGGGACAGTTGCGAAGGTGAAGGATGAACACCTACAGTATAAGCAGACCTTTATAGGTTTCAAGTGCATGTTTAAGCAAGTAGCTGATTGATTTAAAAAGGTTATCTTCAACTGAGCTATTGGGATCAGACTTGGGATTTAAACTGGATCTCGTAGAGTCCAAGAATTGCCCACCTATGAAAGGGTGCAAAGAATTATCACAAGCTAACCTGAAACTGGAGACTGAGCCGGACAAATCAGGCAACATTCAATTTGCATTTCTCATTACGTGATTGATTAGGTGTTATTTTAGGTTTTATGAAGAAAGAATGAAATGCATTTATGGGGTTATGCATTTGCAGATTACATAATATTTTCCTTCATTCTATTAGGACTAATGTCGGAGCAAATTAACTTAGTTCTGTTTCTGTTGCTCCCTGTCTGCTGTTGTGAGAGAACGACACTCTGATCCGTTTATGTGAGCTATAATTAGTCACACTGGGTTTTAATTAGAAATATTGAAAAGTGGGAAGCTTTTATATTTACTCTGAGTAGAACTTAAATACCTGACTGTTCCTTTTTCCGTTTCCTGCCTCTTTTGCCAAGCAGTTCATTAATCAAGTCCCGAGACTGATCACGCTATTTCCCCCTTCCACTCTCTCCAGAAATGCCCTGTTTGCTAGCTGACGGCTGTTGTGGAAAATAGAGTACCTTCTTCCTTTTCTGTAAGACTATAAATCAAAGGTGTGACCAATGATGGGCAATGAAGTTTCTTCTGCAAGAGTCTGTTTGGTTGTTCTTAACAGCATAGTGTAACAGAAACATGGGGCAACTTAAAATAGTCAGATCATGGTGGCTCGGCAGTTACCATACTACTGCTTCACAGCCACACAGTCCTTGAGTCCTGGGCTGTGTGGAGGCTGTGAGGCAGCCCATTTATATGTTGGTTTTCGACAGACACTATTTGCTCCCATGTCTCAGAGATAGTCAGGTAGGTTTGACTGCGCTAAAGGGGAGGTGATTCATGGGAATTTCATACAGCAGGTGAAGGTGTTCCCAGTACAACCAGTACTGGCTGTGTGGCTATAGAACATAGAACGAAATGAGCATGAATGGCTGAAAAGTGTTAAAGGATTTTTTTGTTGGTAAAAAAATTTTGGCCATTTACAGTGCCTTGCACCGTAGAAGATTAATTCTTCTCATGTAGATATGAAAGAGAGGACCGAGGCCCAGTTCAGAATAATATAATGCAATTGTAATTACTACAGACAAGAGAAAATATACTTCACAGAAAGTGTTAGAATAAGATTTAGCTCTTGGGCGCCTACAGAGGACATATAAGTTAATATTAATATTAGTAATCCAAGTTCAAAACATGACAATTTACTGTGAGGTATTAGGCATACAGTATTTGGTTTTCATTACATGAAATGACATTTACACAGTAGCTGTTATTTGTTCTATGGAAGATGGAAGTGCACAAGACCAAAAACCCATGGTAGAGACAACTCCTTAGTAACCTAGGAAGCTTGGCTAGGCGAATCAGGAACAGTGATTTAGCTAAAAGAAAGAAAAGGAATCACATAGAAAATAATACTAATGCTGTAATTATATGAATACAGGAAAAATTGACTTTTACTAGGAGATGAAAATGATCTAGGAAAGAATTTTATTTAAAAAAGGAAAATTATTACAGGTAATAATGCCTTGTTTTGGCCACATTCTACTGCATGTTTCAGAATGCACATGATGGATTAAGACCCAGAAGTCAGGCATTGAGTTCTTGTTTAATTAAATATAGTATTAGATCTGTACAGTCTTTGTCAAGATAGAGTTTTATATAACATCATCCCAGTTTTAGTTTGGTGGGTTATCTGATACTGCAAATGCACGCTGCTGTTTTATGAACCAGAATAAGACATTAAACATGAATTCGTAAGATGTTCTTGTAATGATCTGGGGTATTTATGAAAAGGATATTGATATAAAATATATATTTTCATGACGAGAATATGCCTGAAATCTGCATCCTTGCTGTACATCCTTGTTGTAGGTTCTGTACAGTGTTGTTCACCTTTTGTAATGCAGTCTGTATTTTCAGTATGGACTGAGAATTGTGCAAGATTTTATAAATAGTTTAAGCTTTTTAAGTAGTAATAATATGCACTTAGGTGTCCTGATAATATTAATTATTAATATTCTAAATCATAGGTGTTGCATACTCTATGACCAGTCAGGTTAATTTCTCCAGGAGACAAATAGGATCTTTTACATTTTCATGGTGATAAGATGACCTTTCCTGACACCACAAAGCTTGAAGACACTGTAGCCTCAGAATTCACCTCAACTCCATGACCCACTTTCCCAAACCAAACTCGTAGGTATTTCAAATTGGAGGCCAATTATCCTTCCTGGTCACACGTGATTGCATTGTTAAGCAGGCTTTATTAATTAAAACATTGCAGAAGCCCCTGATTGCAGCTGTATTTGATATGAAATTATTTGGTAATGGTTGCATCGGGCTATACTTCTGATTATCATTTGATTGAGTCTACACTAAAAAGCTCTAAGCAAATTAAACCAATAGGGCCTGTGATTGGTAAAACCTTTTCAAACACACACACGTTTATTTAATACACCTTCTTGTCACCTGAGGGGAAATGGTGATCACTAGGCTGACTTTAGCATGAAAAGTTATTTTCTAAACCATTAGACACAGGGCCTTCAGTTGGTTAAAGCTGAGGGCTGGGTGCCAGAAGACTATGGCACAGGAATTCAGCTGCGGCCCTGACAAACACTCTAACCTAAGGCATAGTCATGTCAGCTTAGTGTTTGTGAGAGGCAGCAAGGAGAGATCAGGGTACAAGCTGTATGAGATTTGGAATGAGACTTCAAGGTCAAAGTCAGTTGTCAAAATGCAGTTCACCATGAACATCTGTGGTCATTTTCATGTAACTTTCTAAACAGAATTAGTATATACTGTAGTTTTTAAAATGATCACATTGGGTACCAGCAGTTGTTTACCTACATCTTTAACTAATGGATGGAATTAAAGAAATTGAAGTAGGAGTGTTACAAAAAGTAACATTATTACATTTAAACCACATAACCTTATGGTAATTACCACCAAATTACAGAATTGGA